CTTTTATTCTAAATTTTGATGATGTTGCTTCAAAAATGTGTCTAAAAATACATATAAGTATAGCCTATGTTAAAGCAGTTTATAAATATGATACATAATATATATATATATATATATATATATATATATATATATATATATATATATATAGATTAATTTACTTTTTTATATAAAGACTAAAGCCAATTGTGTACAGGGAAGTTTGCTTTTCAAATATTGATCCCGGAGCCTTCCGTTCATAGTGCTAAGCACATTGAACTATACTGTATGCAATATAAATGCACTATGAAACTTTATACTGGTATAAAATTTATATGGCATAAGCTAAGCTAATATGTACATGCAACATTGTAGTTGTATGAACTGACGTGATAAAACCTATTGCTATATAATCTACTAGCATTCATTGCCCGCGGCTCCGCCCGCGTTTAGATGACCAAAAACCAAATTAGGTTAGTTTAGGTTTTACATATCTACTATATATATTACATATATACTCTTACAATGCAGTTCTTGTATTTTTTCTCAGAAATGAGATATTTTCCCGCGGTAAAAGATATCCTGTGTTACCCGGATTACCAGCTATCATCATACCAAATTTCATCAACATCTGTCCAGTGGTTTTTTCGTGATGCGGTAACAGACAGACAGACGGACGGACGGACGGACGGACGGATAGACAGACAGACAGACAAAAACTCTAAAAACTATAGATTCGGAATCTGTATCGATAATAATGTCTATTTCAATAAGATTTTCCAAAAAATATTTAATGTACAGATTTGGCTTAGTTACAATTTTATTATATGTATAGATGAAAAGCAATTGAAAAGTGTAAATGAATTGTAGCGTATTTATAAATTCTAAAAGTTTTTAAAATTTTTGTCTGTATGTCTGTCTGTCTGTTACCGCATCACAGAAAAACCACTGGAGGGATTTTGATGAAATTTGGTATGGTGATAGCTGGTTATTCGGGTCAACATATAGGATATTTTTTATCGCAGGAAAATGTCTCATTTCTAAGAAAAAATACAAAAAATGTAATATAAGAGTATACTAATATGTAAAACCTAAGTATTTGGATTTTGGTCATTTGAACGCGGGCGGAGCCGCGGGAAATGCTAGTATTAGTACAGATTCAGAATTAAAATACATTAGGTATACGAAGTCTAGTCCGAAGCAATCTAAATAACTGTCTGTGTCTAGACAAGAGGCTGGGATGAACGGTCAACGGTGTAACTTTGCATATCAATGAGTGTGGGTGGGATATTTATAAGTCAATTATAACGGTTAAAGCATCGACATATCAGGCCGCTCGAGCAAAAACTGACTAACTTATGCCCGATTTCACCAACGTCACCTAAGTTTAAGGGATCCCCTAAGCATGGTTAGGGGGCTGTTAGGGGACAGTTTCTGTTTCAACGACAGTTAGAGGTCACCTAAATGTTAAAAGGCCCCCTAAATTTAGGTGCTCGAAATATGGGCTTAAAGGCGATGGTAAAACGAAATTTAATTTAGGGGCTAGTTTAGGGGAATTTAAGCTAGGGATCCCATACGTAGGTGGTAGCTTATGGGTTGTTGGTGAAATCGGGCATTAGACTTTTAACTGTTCTTATTCTATGTGTTTTTTAATTACTAATATTATAAAAGCGACAGTATGGGCTGGCACCGATTTCGAAAATATTTGATTCGGTATGTATTTAATAGGTAGGCTTTAATTACTTAGCCAAAGCACACCGACTTCGAAAATATTTGATTAGGTATGTATAGTAAATGAAAACTACCAATCAGTTATTTTTTACTTTTTAGTGCTTTTGTTTGAAGTCGGCTTTTATTTTTTTGTTAAAAAGTTTTTATTATATAATAACAGCTTCTCTTTAACACCATGAAAAAACTGTCTTTACCTAACTAACCTATATAATTTGCATGTCGCGATTCAATTCGACATCATTCAAGGATTAAGTTAATTTTTAAGGAGGGAAGAGTTCTATTGCGTATGAATTATGAATATAACGAGGTTTGCAGATTCCACGGTTCAGTGACTGATACTCGCACTGGATGAACAGGTCTACCCGGAGCCATATATAGAACCTACCTCTTACGTATTACGAAATTTATTTTCAAATCTAACTAACGTATAGTTAATCGAATTAGTATTGAAGCTAATATTTCACGAGTTTTACTACAAAGTTTAATTTTTAGTTTTATAATATTATTCCAATATATGTACATATTTTTTTTTGATTGTTTGTTATTCTGCAAACGGAAGGACGATTAATATATTTAATTTCATTAACGTTCAGTGTAATTTTATTATCGGATAAAACAGTGAATGTTTACTTATAGTGATAATTAGGGGATATTATTTTATTTTTTTAATACCTATGGGCTATGAGGTAATGGCTCTATTCGTAGAGTTGATACATTTGATTTTCCCTTCTTGCAAGATCATAAAAATATTTTCGATAAAACTATATAGGTATGTTCGAGTTTATTTTCACTTATACATATATTATAACGATTATTGGGAAGATATTTTAAATAATGAGGTTTTCGTTTGAATCAAAACGAAAGAAATATACAATGGCAATATAAATATTTTCTTATCAAGACAAATAGAAAGAGCGATCGTAGTTTATATGCAACGTACCGTGTCCGCCAACCCGCACTTGGCCAGCATGGTGGACTATGGTCTGATCCCCCTCGTATTGAAGGAAGGCCCGTGCTCAGCAGTGGGACGTTAAAAAGGGCTGAATACATCGTTATAAAAATGTTCAAAATAAATAATTCTTCATTCCAGACATAGCCAATGTATAGCTAGGTGTGCATAACCTGTAGATGATTTCGCGGTTCAGTGACTGAGTCGGGACTGGTTGGAAACAGGTCTGGCAACTGCTAAATATGGAACCACCCCTCGCCGCATGACCTGATATTTGTTGCATGAGAAAATCTTGTAGGTCACTAGCATTTGACTCACCTTTCCTTTTATAATTTATATATGTTGAAATATTAGATATGTACCTATGTAATATCAATAATTATAATAAAAAGATATAATAAACAAATACATTTTGCCATTTTATTAATTAATTATATTTAAAGCAGCTTTGACAAAAAAACTATTTTTTGTTTTGTTAATTATTAGATAGGTAGGTTATAAAATTTTCATATATGAATATATTTAAACCAGTTATTTCAAAAATAAAAACAAGGAAAAAATAAGTAATTATAATTTATGTATGTATATCTTAAGATATTTTTATAATTAATTCAGAATCAACCACCATCACATATTCATGTTTGTTTTGTCATTCTGTCAGTTGTCTTATAATGGAAATACATATTATAGGAATAAAATTAAATTTTAGGTATCTACAGTTGATCTTTGAAATAATTTGTTAGAATATGAGCACATTAAAAATATTTGGGACTAAAAAAGAAATAAAGTAGGTATATTGATGATCAAATTCGTAAAATCTTCCAAGTGCGAGTCGAACTCGCACACGAAGGGGTCCGTACTATCGTACGTGTACTTATGACTTTTACTCTTTATATGTAGTTGGTATATTAATTTCGATGATCAATTACGAACTTTAAAAAAAATATTTCTTGTATTTGTATTATTTCTTGATATAGCGGCATTCGAAATACAGACTGAAAATTTCAACTTTCTACCTATTACGGTTCATGAGATACAACTTTCCGACAAACGGACGGACGGACAGTGGAGGCTTAGTATTAGGGTTCCGTTGACACCCTTCGGGTACAGAACCCTAGAAAAGTTTTAGAAAACATAATATTACCTATTATTGTAGTATTAAAGACCTATTCATGTAGGTATTAAATAATTACAACCATTATCGATATAAATAAATGAAATGACGTTTTTACCAGATAATAAAAACAAATATAAAAATAATTATCGTCAGCAAAAAATAATGAAATACTTCTGGCTAATTCTATAAACTATAATGTAAACAACATTATATAACTAGGTATTAAGAAATAAGTATTTAAAGATCTACTTACGTTTTATAAATAATTATTAAACTAAATTCATATAGTTAACATGAAATCGATGAAATTTATTTATTTATACGCCTTGTTCAATTAATTATTGTACGTTTATTCTATGTGATTTATTCGCACGTGCTAAGCTACGTTGACAGTCGTAAATAAATTTACGATCAGCAATAAAATGCACTGCAATGCAGTTTAATTTATCTACCCACAATATAAATAGAAGCAATTATAATATTATACTTACTTTTAACGACATCTTTATTTACCGATGAGCTTACAACACAATATAGTACACAAACATCGTCCGACAACTATATTTTTTGCACAGAAAAATCGTTTATTTACACAATAATATTTTTTCGCCACTGATTACGTAATTTTAATTTACAAATATTATTAAAACAGTCCCGTGTTTTTATTGTCGCGTTACGATCGAAGCTCCTCGAATATTTGGTAACCGAAATAGATAGATGCGAGCGCACAGCGCAAGTCCCTTCGGTTTATAATTTTTTCCCTCGCTCGGGCGCGAGATACGACATTATCGTTAAATGACATTTAGTCATCGGTCCTGCCATATTGAAAAATAAACCTAATTTTATATTTAATTGTTCTGAAATAGTAAATTATATATAATTTACTGTTTATTAAACTATTATATATTTAAATATACTTGTATTAAATTTTTATCTTAGGATTTATAATATAGTTGTGAAAATTCACCTGCGATACTTTCGCCATCTATTGAAAATTTTTGATATAACAGAAACTAACAACAGTTATTGAATATGCGTATAGATGGCGTTATCCACAAAAGTATACCTAATAAAAAACTTAACCCTAGCATTTCAAAGGGACGGTAAGAAAGAAAAACGTTAAAAGGAAATAGCAGTAGTTATTGGCAGAAAACATATTTAATGGCTATAAAACAAATCTAATTAGTTTTTTTTCAACCACTTAAATATAACAGTTAAAAATTATTGTTCATCTTTCATTAAATGTCGTTTCACAGCTTCGAGTGCAGTCTTCGCGTCGTATTTGTCGGGATGCGCGCTGGTGTAGTGCGAGCGCAGCAGCGTGGCCAAGTTCGTTTGGAAAGAGCAGCTTGAGCACGCGTACAGATGCAGCCCTGGATGTCGCCCGCTACGGAGCACGTGTTTTCTAAGATTTTCCTAAAAAGAATTAAGTTTATTATTAAAATGAGATTGCATCAGGAATTAAGAAAAAATAGTTCAAATAAGAGAAACAAAAAGCCCCGTAAAATGTTATGTGTAAAAAATTTCGAAATAATGTGTTAATTTAATCATGATAATCGAACTATCAAGTATCAGCCATTAGATAATGGATTAGCCATGGACTTGTTTCAATTAATACGATTGGTTTACTGTTAAAAACTGTCAGTGTTATTGAAATTTATTTAATTAAATGCGTTTTAATTATCAGAATGATTTTTACTGTATTAAAAATATTTTAGTATGTGTTCTGTGGTATTATTTTATATGTATACTAGCATTACCCGCGACTCCGCCCGCGTTCGGACGACCAAAAACCAAATTCTTAGATTTTACATATTAGTATATTCTTACATTGCAGTATTTGTGTTTTTTCTCAGAAATGAGACATGTTCTCACGGCCTTTCGGTAGTTTTTTCTGTGATGCAGTAACAGACAGACAGACAGACAAAAATTCCAACAACTTTAGATTCGGCCTTTGTATCGATAATAATGTTGATTTCAATAAGATTTTCCAAAAAATATTTAAGGAACAGATTCGGCTTAGTTACAATTTTATTATACGTATAGAAATTTTAATAAAAGAATGGGACATTTGCACAAGTGCCTACTTATAAGTTACTAGCGGACCCGACAGACGTTGTCCTGTCTACACGTCTTTAATTTAAAAATTTCAAACTTTTTTTTAATAATTTTTTTGATGAAAATTATTATTCAAATTGTGAATCCAAACCATTCCCAGATCCCCTTGAACACACACAAAAAATTTCATCAAAATCGGTCCAGTCGTTTGAGAGAAGTTCAGTGACATACACACTCACAGAAGAATTATATATATAAAGATATACAATTGTGTAATATTGTGTGTTATATTAAGTAGTTTGAAGTATATAGACGATAATATATTAAGTCAAACTATAATACAACTAATTTAAAATAATATTTAGTGGATAAAATTTCAAAAGAATGTATGTATGCACATAATTTACATAATATTATATTTATACTGAGTAGCTATACTCAACAGATAGACTTGATTACTTATTAGGTATACCACTATTATTTTCTTTATACTTATACTCACTAAACTCCCACAAGTGAAGGTGCAGTGCGGACAGATGTATGGCTTGACTCCTTTGTGGCAAAGCAAGTGTCTTTTCATATGGCTAGCTTGCTCTGTTTTAAACTCACAAGACGGACATTCATAGTTTTTCACTCTCTCACCGTGTGTGCGACGATGCCTGAAAATATTATTAACTTTGCTATTACGATGTAATTAGGTATATAAAGTCCATTTTACATTTTAACTTGTAGCTTTTTCTAATTATTGTTTTGTTAGTTAAATTGGTGGAAAATCTGCAATCCGAAAAAAATATTTAATCTTCTTAGAACCTCAATCTGCTCTATTTTTTTTAATTGAATATAGGGTTATATTAAAATAACTTGTAATAAATCATAGTTATTACAGGAAATTAGTAACGCCATCTTTGTATAATAAACAAAAATAGACAGAAATCTGAACCGCCATCTATTATCAATTATCAAAATTATTTCAACCCAATTTATAATTTGCAAAAGTTTCCTAATAATATAATAGATGGCGCTAAACATCAAACAATATGTCACTTGTATTTAAGAATAAGAAATGACTGCAAATACAGAATAAAAAAAAACCACGAATATATAAGTGAAACAATTGAACGGTGTATTTAATTCATTTTAAAAAAATTGACTTTATTCTATTTATATGTGATTATTGAAAATTATTAATTATATATTACTTTAAAAAAAAAATAACAAGTCAATATTAGTCCCGCTGAGTTTCTTTCGCCAGTTCTTCTCAGGTCTGAGGCTTCTTCTTTCCGAACTGGTAGTAGACTCATGACGTTCAGTAAAAAATTGTAATAATTTAATGCTTAATAAAATATTTTGATTTGATTAACCTTATAACAAAAAAGGACCTTATAATAAACAAATTACGAAATATGTACTTATTAAGTTGTGCGATACTGGATGCTATGTAGGAGCAATTTTCATACGGGCATCGTCGCTCCTCGGAGCTGCAAGTCGTAGAGTGGTGAGTGAGAGCAAGACTGAAACGTAACATAATAACAATATTATATTCTTTTAACTAGAAAAGGTTACCACTAATTTTATTATCAGTTAAAATGATTTTAAGTAAGTAAATAAAGGGTGAAACCCTTAGAGAAAGATTATTTTTAAAATTATATCGAATCGAACCACAGCCTCTAGATAAAAGCCTCTTGATTAAAAAAAGAATTATTAATAATTAATATTTATTCACAATTTGCAAAGATATCGAGTTACATACACACAAACAAAACTATTGATATAACTGATTTGAGCAAACTCAAATTGTACTTTTGGTCAAATATAAAAAGAGTTCAAAAACCCTTTTTAGATTTGACTAAAAGTACAATATAACTATTTTATCAGACTTTATCTGATTTAATTAGACGAGAAAGCTAACATAATTGTGCAAAAAATTTTTATTTGCACTTGCAGAATTTATAATGCGCGTAGATGTTTTAAACGGGCGGATTCATTCAACACTGTAGTGTTAGAGTAAAACGTAAAAATAACATTTTCGTGTATTTGAATAAATAATAATATTATTCTTCGTCTTTCACTAAAAAGTCAGAGTGCAGAGTCTAGAACATCATATTTTTAAGATGACGTGTGATGGATCATAATTAGCATTCGCAGTTATCTTTATTATTTAGTTCTTTAAGTACTTGTTTGTTGAAAAATATTAAATATCTGCTTTTGGACAAATCTGACAGAAGTTGGGACACGTCACTATTACATATATTACATCTAACATCACCAATATATACATATACCAAGCCGGTTTTAACTGCCTCGGTGGTGTAGTGGCTAGCATGTACGGCTGCACACCCGGAGGTCCTGGGTTCGAGTCCCGGGTCGGGCCAAGTTTAGTTATTGAGTCTTCCTGTATAGTAAGTCTCAGTAACAGCCCGGAGTTGGGAAGTTGGCGGTGTTTCACCCCCGTGCCTCGGAGAGCACGTAAAGCCGTCGGTCCTGCGCCTTAACTCTCACCGGTCGTGTCGAGTGGTCGTCCCACCGGAGTATGAGAGTGATAGGAATAGAGAGTGCACTTGTGCCTGCGCGTACACTTGAGCACTATAATATCTCCTGCGCAGTTGGCTTATCTCATTAAGATTGGCCGCCGTGGCCGGAATCGGCTAGGAGAACATCATCATACCAAGCCACTTCGCAATAAAATTTGAATTCTCCAATTATAAACTATTATAAATAAAACCATCTTTTCGGGTTTTTCGCGAAATTATTTGAGTTATTTTGAGTTTTATTTTGGTCTCACGGGGGGAAGAAAAATAGTTTTATTTAAAATATAAAATATGAAAGTAAAATAAGAAAGTATTATAAACTATTTTTATAATATAAAATTAAATAATATTTGTTACAAACTAATGCTATCTTCTAATAAGTATAATAGAGCTCTCAGGTGAAGCAAGGCGCTCTCAAGCAACTCGAAACCTATACATCTGCAAGACGTATCATAAATACGACTTAATTACACAATTTCAGCTGGACTTTGGAATTTTGCGCCGCTCACTAGAATGTTGGAAGACAGCGATCGTTCCTTTCAATTATTTCTGACGTGATGTTTTAGTTATATGGATGTAAACTATGTAGTTGTATCGTACCTGTGTTGGGATCAAGTTTGAGGTAAATATTACGCTTTATTTTGTACTATACATTCATTCGTTCATATAAATCAGGAGACAAAGCAGACAGATCAAAATTTAACAGAACAAGACAATGTAAAAAATCTGTCTGTTTAGTGTTTACCTATAGTTATTATATTTATACATATAATAAAATTGTAACTGAGCCGAATCTGTACATTAAATATTTTTTGGAAAATCTTATTGAAATAGTCATTATTATCGATACAGAGTCCGAATCTATAGCTTTTGTAATTTTTGTCTGTTTGTCTGTTACCGGATCACAGAAAAAGTACTGGAGGGATTTTGATGAAATTTGGTATGATGATAGCTGGTTATCCGGGTCAACATATAGGATACTTTTTACCTCGGGAAAATACATCACTTCTGAGAAAAAATACAAAAACTGCATTGTAAGAGTATACATATATGTAAAATCTAAGAATTTTGGTCATCTGAACGCGGGCGGAGCCGCGGGCAATGCTAGTTATATATAAAAATATGTTTTTATATTTACAAAATTACATTTGCATACTACTTTCTTGGGTTTATATGAATATTTGTCATTTTAAATAAAACTATCTTTTGATTTTTGGTTGCCGACGTTTCAAATGCTTCACAGCAATCATAATCATACAATGGTCACGGTTAGAGATTCCATACTACTCCACATACATTTGCAGTAAGATCATCATAACGATGATGCGATTGATAGATGGTAAAATAATGTTTTTATGGTAACCTTAAGTTTTTCTTAAGTACTATTCACCTTTTCAAAGATTGTCGGAGTTATTTCCCATACAAAATTTCATCTCAATTTTCACCCTATTTAGGAATTATTTCCGGAATAAAAAATATCCTATGTTCTTCCCAGAGTCTGAAACTATTTTCTTACCAAATTTCATCTAAATCGGTCCAGTAGTTTTTGAGTTTATTCGTTACAAACATAAAAATCTTTCCTCTTTATAATGTTAGTGTAGAAGTGTAGATTAAAATAGTTTGCATAATTAACTTACTCATCACCAAAAGCTCAGATAGTCTAAGCGAAACTTTAAAACGGTTTAAAATTACGGAACTTAGCGTTTTAAGGAAGCTGTAACTATTCCTAATGCTAAAACCCATTGACACTGCATCCTGAGTGTGGCGGAGTGCATTAATACAACGACCCTATAACGTGTAAGATATTACGTAAGTTGCATCATCAGTGAGTAAATGTCCCTACAGCGGTCGAGATACGTTCGAAGTTCTGTAATGGCGGCGTTGACTTGATTCATGCTGCTTCCAGCCGTTAGTGGAGTTATCCTTGGAACTATCAAAGATAAAGTGATCATTTTGCATAAGTGACCTGGTGGATGATATGATATATATATTTTAATAAATAATTTACACTAAGTTTTCGGAATTCTTATATGAATTTAGCTAAATAACAGGTATCGTACATATATCTAGGAAGTTTATTTTGAACTTTGTTATTTGTAATTCTCGCAGCTTTTTGCACTTGCAATTGATTTGGAAGCTTAAGTCATTCGGATGATGATACAATACAATTGATACTAACCGATTAAAAGATGGAGTCGGGACAGTGAAAGACGAATAAATGGTTACTAGAAAAATCTTCATACGTGTTTTAATTTTAACACTGGTAGTAAAGTATTTTTTTTAAATATTTGCGAAATTTGTTTGAAGGAGAGGTGAAATATTTATGCATCATAATGACAAGCGGAGTTTCGAGTCAATGCTCTACCCAAATAAGTTTTATTTGTCATACAAAAGCGAACGCTAAATTTAAAATAAAAAATGATTAGTGCCACGTCAACTGAAGAGTGACAAATAAAGTTTAATTGAGATTTACGAGACATGACACGTTATGATCTACAGAAACGAAGGAGGCCGAGTAAAAATATAACTGGGCTGAATCGTGCATAAATTGAGAGCTTCAATCTGTCAAATCAAATACTTGGTGTCATGCAATTCCTAACAGCACGTGCGTTTAATAAAATAAACTTGCAATGTTGTGATCTAAGTATGTTCCGGTGGAATTTATTGGTGTTTGGTGTAAATCTGTCGACGGTGAGATGTTTCGAATCAAAGAGCTCTTGTCAAATTATGAATGTTTCCTGAAATTGTGAAGGATTTGTCGCGACGCGCATCCGCCGCGTCCAATTGATGTGGACCAAGTTTATTTTTGTACTTCGTGCATGACTGTCTTATTAACGAGGGATTTGCCCCGGGCTTGTTTGCTGATGATTTATTTGCTCGGACGTGTGCTCTTTTATATATTTTAAAAATATTGCTAAATAAAAAATGTGATAGTGAATCAGATAATGTCAAGAAACTGTTGAATATTGAATTTATTTAAATTTTTAACTGAAATACTAATTCGATATACTTAGTTAAATCAATATAATCTAAGACTACTGTCATAACATAACTTTAAAATAACTAAGAATCAAATAAAAAGGTAACTTACCTATCATTAAACGTCTTCTTGCATTTCGTACACTTTAGCGTCTCCTCTGCTATTTTCATTAGAGCAGCATCAATTGCAGTCAGCTTCGGTCGATCCAAGCTCCCATGCTCGATCTTACAATGGTTCGCCAAACTTGACTGGCGAGTAAAATTGGCACCACATGTAGAACAAATGAAAGGCCTTTCAAATGTATGTTGCCTCAAATGAAGGCGTAAGGAAGCTTTTTTAAAGATCTTCGAGCAAATAGGACATGAGTATTTCTGTATAGGTTTATTCTTTCCATCTTTAGCTTCTATAATTGGTTCTGTGTGAAGAACCTCGTGGAAGAAGCACTCGGCCTGTGAGTCGGTGGTGAACAGGCATTGGCTGCAGTTCCAGAGGATCGATGAGTTAATTGTGTCGTTCTTTTGGAACTGGCAGGCGTTGTCTCTTATATGTCTTGAGACTTCTTGTGGAAAAATGAAAGCTTTTCCACATTTTGGGCATCTGTAAAATGTGATAGTTAAACTTAATTTTTTAAGTATTATAAAGATCAGTTAGTAACAAATTAGACCGACTAATAATTCACAAAATTGTACTAATCAATAGATATTTACTGAATTGGTTTATTATAAGAGCTAAATATACCGGAGTCACGTGCAGTGAAAAATAGTTTATCCCACGGATAATATCGATTTCTTAGCGTTATGTAAGGATAGAAATGTCGACATATGTAAGTCTTAAATATATATTTTATATTTAGAAATGTCAGTTTATAGGACATCTAAGTTTAATTTAACAATTAATAATGTATTATATTAAATAGGGTAAATAATAATGCTTCAGGTATTAATACTTACTTCTTTCTTATGTCAGGGTGTGCTCGTTCTATATGACTTTTGAGTTCAAGAATATTCTTCAACATGACTTTTTCTGTACAGTAGGGACATTTCTTACTTAGATCTTTAGTGGTTTCTCCACGTTCACTCAATATCTCCTTCCTTCTAACTCTATGTTCTGAGGTTTGTCGATGTCGCTTAGCTTCTTCTGAAGATGCAAAAGTCTTAGAACACACGAGACAAAAGTACGCTTTTTGTTTGTGTTTGGATTTCAAGTGCGCAGCCAAAGTTACTGATGACTTAAACTTTACTTTGCAGTGCTGGCATAAATGCAGCTCTTGATAATTATCAGTTGCACTGTACGCACATTCGTGACCTGTTTTTAAGCAATGTTGTTTGATTTCCATGTTATAACGAAATTCTTTTTGACATGTTTCGCACCGTAGCACTGTTTTCTTTCTTATTATTATTGGCATGGATCTATTTATTACAGCTACGACCTCACTATGCTCCGAACTAGACATGTGGTTCATCATTTCTTGAGAAGTGTCACATTCAAATTTGCAAAAAGAGCACCAATATCTACCATCCATTGAAGACACTTTACTTTCATGTTCTTCAGAAAACCAATGTTGCATAAAATTAGAAAGCCAATTAGTATAAAACTTACATGGGCTACATTGGAAAGGGGCTTGGTGTACTATCGCATCCATGTTATCAATAATAAATTGTTGGTAAATATCACTTTTTATGTCAGCAGCTTTTCTAAAGTGGTAGTGTGATATTAGATGCTTTCCCATTAAATGAGTTCGTACTCTTGATTTACAACCGGAGCATTGAATAAAATAACTCTTCCTTTTACGCTTCTTTTTCTTAATCTTAATGTTTATTTTAGGTTCTAATTTTTGTCTTTTTCGAGAAGTTTGCGAAATTGACTCGCTGACGAACAAAGTGGGACGAGTTGTTCTTTTATCGGATACATTCCTTATAGGCTCCAGATGTCCTGAAAACTCTAATTCATGTTCTGGAAGCACTTTCCGCATATGTAAGTTAGACATAAGATGTTTGTCGTAAATAGCCCTCGACCCTAAGCGACGGTTACATGGTCCACACCAATATTGTACGGATCCTTTTGCTTGAATTGTAGTTTCCATTATTTGTGTTTTTTCATTAGCTCCTGGAACCCACTTGCCTTTAGTGTGGCCTGGAGGTGGGGCGTCATAATCATAGTCACGGTCAAGTTGTTCCTGCTCTTCCCACTCCTCCCGTTCTGGTGACGCAGGTCGCCATTTACCCCCCGTGTAATTTGGTGGCGGTTTCCATTTACCCCCAAGAGGTACTTCATCTTCATCGTCATCATCATCTGAATCCTCAGATTCCTCTGAATCATCGTCACCTTTGAAGTCATTAAAAGTTTCTATGTTGTATGATGTACTTGGAAGATCCTTTTTTACCGAACCACTGATACTAGCAACAGCGTTAATTAGTTTTGTCTGATTATCTTCATTACTACCTATCCTAAGGCTGTGTCCACCGATCCAATCTCCTCCCCTTAAATTATTTTCTATAGGACTCATACGAGGTAGGTGTGAAGTCGAAGAAACAGTCAAAGCACCTTTCTTTTCAATGTTCGCTAAACTTGTCTTAGATATTGGTGTAGGTGGTGTTAATCGTGATAGTGAAGATTTTTTAACGCTACTTTGCAATTCTAATGACTGAAAAAACACATCTGCACCAAGGCTATATGTCGGTTCTAATGGATCAATGGATGGGAGTTCTGATTTTGTTTCATTTTTTCTTTTACCGCAGGCTTGTTTTCTATGTATGACATAATTATCGAGGCCGATGATAGTGGCATTACATTTGATGCACAGGTGACTGTCATCGTCGTCTTCGTGAGGTGACAGCATCTGAAAAGTTAGAGCATAAATCTGAAGTCTTGACGTTGCCGAAAAGATTGATAGTTGGGATGGAGTGGGGTGGTGACATCGTCGCGGGGTGGAAATAACTCGTTAATCGCGTGGTGGATAGATATTAAGCGGTGACGTCTCGGAGCTCGTCAGCAAACTGGGGCATTAAATACGCTTTCAATGCGAATTATTCAACAGAAATACCTAGCAGTTTCGTGATGATCGATAATATATGCAAGTCACTACAGTCTCATTACCGAGAAACTTTGTTTCGCCATAACCTGGTATTTGCATAAGGCTATCTATCACTCTATTAACATTAGTTCAAAGACTAAGTTTAATAGGAATGTGATTTGCTTGCAGAGGCTTGGGAATAAATAAAAAGGACTACAGTACGGCCGTTGAATTTTAAAGGGGGGTAGATTATAGAATGCAGTGAAAGGGGTTTTTGTTGGTCGATGACGGTGGCGTCGACGGTGACGGCGCGACTTCGAAGGACAAGTCCGAGGTACGAATCGGTGGGTCATTAATAATGCCGTTCACCTGTCCGACTACCTCGCCGCTCTACTACACTTTCACGACAATCGTTTGGGAATTAGATCGGAAATTGATTTATACTCAATTGCGTTTACAATCGAGTCCATAAACTTTACTAGAAAATGTATTGTTGATATGAAACTGACAACGGCTGATATAAATAAGAGTTGTGGTACTTATGTGATTTGAAGGAATGTTTTATTTTTAAAATACTTATTTTTAGTCATAACGAGGCTTGTTATTATAAGTATGTATAATCTCCTTAGTTTGTAAGAGTAACGAAAAATAGTGTAGTTTAGTAATAAGTGTTTTCGTTCGTCGTATATGTACATATATTATTTTTAGTATAAACCATATTATAGAATTACAATTGTAACTAAATATTTTATTTCTTTGTCAATATATCTGTAAGTTTAGACCTGATTATGATACCAAAATAAACTTAACTGAATTTAAGAAGATTTATTTTAAATCTCTAAATTTTCGGTGAAGTAAACAAAAACTTCTACCAAATCGAGTTCGATTCGACATTCCATAGTAGTGACACGCATCAATCGTCCTCGCGCCGCCTGACACCAGCGCTCTGACAAACAGTTGACAGCAACTGACAAATGATAACGCTGTCAGTCATGACTGTCGTTGTCGTTGTTCTGGGACTTTTGTTATTTAACCTCGACGTAAATAAAGAATGGAAATTTTACAAAACGTTTAAAAATGAATCTTTCACGATATACACATGTATTGTTTGAACGATTGTATTTTATGTTGAAGTAGTTTTTTACGCAATGGTTTAGACTTTAGGTAATTCAAAATGTTCACCGGTAATTTACTATGCTAAATCATACTTTGGATTCAATTTCAAATGAGTACTATATCTGGAATTTTGACGTATTATAGACAAAGGTAAAAATCTGTTATGCCTAATTAAAAATTTAAAATTAATTAACAAATATAACCAACGTTTTTACTTTCAATTTTTCATTTAATATACAACTAGCGTTGCCCGCGGCTCCGCCCGCGTTCAGATGATCAAAAACCAAATTCTTAGGTTTTACATATTAGTATACTCTTACATTGCACGGTAAAAAGTTCCTATATGTTGACCCGGATAACCAGCATCACCATACCAAATTTCATCAAAATCCCTCCAGTGGTTTTTCTGTGATGCGATAACAGACAGACAGGCAGACAGCTGCATACAGACAAAAATTCTAAAAACTATAGATTCGGCCTTTGTATCGATAATAATGATTATTTCAATAAGATTTTTCAAAAAAACATTTAATGTACAGATTCGGCTTAGTTAAAATTTTACTATATGTATAGATATAACAGTGGAATGATTCGTATCAATCGTCCCGCAGACGAGCAGTTGACAGCCGGTGACAAATGACAGCGTGTCACTTGTGATTGTCATTGTCGTTGTTTTCAGGGAAGTCTTTTAATTATCTGTCTGTTTGCACCAACGTGAATAGTGTTTCAGTTTTTATTGTTTTATATTCAAATAAAAGTTTTCCAATAAATTTTAAAACTTTAACTACGTAACAACAATCGAATTTCAATTTACACATTATATGCATTATTTCTTGGAAACTTCCGAATATTTTATACTTACTACTTACTTCTTATGTAGTTCACATTATTATAATTAATCAATACTTAAAAGGCAAAACTCCAGACTATATTATAATAATAAAACGAATAAATAGAATAAAAATATAAAGATAAATAATTATATTTTGGAAATAATCTTGATGTACCTACTGAAAAAAAGAACAACACTCGGGCCCGTAAACTAACTTTGCTAAAACCACGTCAATCCAATATAACGTAGTTTCGTTAAAGAAAGATAAAATGGACAAACAGTTTCGCATTTACTATATATGAAAGATATATATGTAATACTAGCAGAAACCGCGGCTTCCTTCGCGCTAAAACTACAAAGATATCTCTAAAAAGGTAGGTTTCATACAAACTGTTATCTTCTATTTTACCCCCTTATAGGATGAATTTCGAAAAATACTACAACACGTATTTATTAATTTGTACTGAAGAGTATTAATACCAAGTTTCAAGTAATTCTGATCACAAATATTTTTTTGGTTTGTATTATAACGTATTTTCCCGTGTGAATAAAATAATCTCCCGCGGTAAAAAGTAGCCTGTGTCACTCTCCAGCCCACCAACTATCTTCAAACAAAGATCACGGCACGGTTTCACATATATAATTATATAATATTAGTATCGATGTTAGATGTAGACGTAAGAATCATTTCAAGAATTAGGTTCTATCATAACTATACACTACGAGTGTAAACTTCTTGAAATAAGATATAATCTACAACAATTAGCTAAATGGACTGGTGAATGATGAATACATGGACTTGCCATGTTCCCAAACAAAGGGTTCGTCTTCCCAAAAACAAACTAATACAAATAAGACAAGTTAATCCTTAAATCTGGCGGTGGTGGTGTGAGTGCGTGTATGTATGTGTGTGACGTCCGTCAGTCACGTGTCCGCTGGACGCTTTCCACTGGACGGCTAACTTTTGATTCGGTAATTTTTTTTTTCAGTAATTTCTTTTTTGTGACATAGATGAAGTAAATTATGCCTTGGCGCCTAAGTCAAAATAATGACAATAATATTGAATGGATTTAAAATAAAAGGACAACGATTTTAATTTATTTTAATGTTCTTATTTAGTTTAAGGTAATTTTAAAATTTAACAGTCCTGAATTAAACGCTTTATAAGCGTTTTTTATAGAAATTTCTTAAAAGTTATTTAAAGGGACGCTTTTTCTAAGATTTGTACGTTTCTTTGTATTTTGATCATATTCTACAGGAAATTTTGTAGTTTATCTGAAACGTAATGAATAACAATAAAATTATAAAGAAAATATGATTCAAATGCAAGTAGCGAATCTAGAAGAGTCCGCGTCGTGAAAGGCTGTCGCCCTAATAACGGCGTCGACATCGATCCGTCCCGCCGTCACCTTCGTAAGTATTGGCGAGTTTTTTAAACGCTTACACAGAGTTTTAAAAAGTTTTAAAGTGAAAATAATGTTAATAGATACATTCCATTCAATGAGTTAGTTTATTTAATTATTTACTGTTAGAAATTAGGCAAAAACAAAACATATTTCTTTTTACGTTTAAATAACGACGAAGTTACTTATTGCTGTGTGTGTATTCAATATATCATATGTGATATATATATATATATATATAGTTGTATATATATATATAATATATATATATATATAAATATATATATATATATATTTGATTTTTATATACCGATTTTGAATTCAAACAAAAGAGTTAGTGTTTTATAGATACGACCCCGCCCGGTTCTTTTACTGACAGACCTGTATCTCACGGGATCCACTTTATATTGCGGGATAAGAAGTAGACTTTATCATTTACTGGCCAACAGTAATAGGATTTTTTTCAGTACCTACTGTCTTTATACAACAAATCCCTTTTATCCGTCTCTCTTCTGTTGCGTGAAAGAAGGACCAATAACAAAAAAAAAACTTTCAGCTATCTAATACTGTAAAAATTAATTAACTTGAAAATTAAAAGAAGAATTTAAAAATTACGGACTGCTCAGGAGGTAGTGTTTAGTAATTGTATTTATTTTTTATATAGTTGCTCAGAAAATGTAAAGGACTTTAATTAAAACAAAAGAAATTCTTCTAAATATTCTGTTTGAGCAATGAATACGAAATTTTTGTACAATATCTATTATAAAGTATATAATAAAAAAATTATTTTAAACATACAATTTTGGTGTAGCAAAAATATTATATTATCACTAGCATTGCTCGCGGCTCCGCCGGCGTTCAGATAGCCAAAAACTAAATTTTTAGGTTTTACAGATTAGTATACTCTAACATTGCAGTTTTTGTATTTTTTCTCAGAAATGAGATGTTTTCCCGCGGTAAAAAGTATCCTATATGTTGAGCCGTATAACCATCTATCACCATACATCAAAATCCCTCCAGTGGTTTTTCTGTGATGCGGTAACAGACAGACAGACAGACAGACAAAAATTCTAAAAAGTATAGATTCGGCCCCTGTATCGTTAATAATGTTTATTTTAATTAGATTTTCCCAAAAATATCTAATGTATGGATTCGGCTGAGTTACAATTTTATTATATGTATAGATTTAAATTAGGTCTTAATTTAAATTGGCTGCAGAATGTAGTGGAATTCTCATTTTTAGAGTTCCGTACCCAAAGGGTGCCAACGGAATCTTATTACTATGCTTCCGCTGTCCGTCCGTCCGTTTGTCAGATGGCTGTATCTCATGAATCGTAATAGGTAGACAGTTGAAATTTTCTCAGAGCATGTATTTCTATTGACGCTATAACAACAAATAATAAAACTAAACAAAAAATAAAGGTAACATTTTTTTACGTTTGTAATAGATAATCGAAGTTAATATAGTTATATAC